AATATTTGATGTGCGACCTAGAAAAACATCACCAAGATAATAATTGACAGTCATGTTTTCACCATTACTACAGAGAAATGGCTTGTTTCTAGCAGTTCAAAGGATATGACCCACATATTACCAGTACAAAGTTCTTTGGGGATTGACAGGCCGCATTTTACACATACTGGTAAACCACTTCGTGGGCTACTAAAGCTGATGCGAATGACCAGTGCACTAGTGTTGTATCAAGCTGCCTGCCGACCTAAGGTGCAGTGGGCAGCTGTAGCCTATCACAGTGTCGCCGGTGGTAGCTAGTAACGTGGCCATTTTTTTTCTCTCCCATGATTATATTTTATGTAGGATGGGAGCCTGTATGGTCGAGAAATAACTTAAATAGCTTGTCATCTAGTTGTCACCATGATATAGTCTACTAGTTGATGGGGCGAGCATGAACAGCACACAGAGTCCTCCTCAACCCTTTGTGATTCGGTTCACTCGGCTCCCAACTCGTTTTGAATGCCAGGAGTGTCCGTATACCCTCTCCCAGCTAACCATTTGTTGAATTTAAACAACACTGTTCCATATAATGTTACAGTATTAGTAAACCTGTTCACTTTACCAGTAGTATGCAAACATTTGGTGGTACAGAAAGAAAGGAAAATATGTTGTGAGTCTGGTCAAATAATCTGTGTAATTGTGTTGGCTACAGCAATGTGTTATTAGTTAGCAAGGGTGTGAAGTAGGTGTATCTTCTTTCTATTTGTTCAATGCCTCAATTGATTTCATAAACTACAGTGCCTTCGGAAAGTATTGAGACCCCTTGACCTTTTCCACATTTTGATACGTTAAAAATTTTTTTATAAAATGGATTAAATAAAACAACCTCAGCAATCTACACACAATACCCCATAATGACAAAGTGAAAACAGGTTTTTAGAAATGTTTGCAAATGTATTAAAAATAAAAAACAGAAAATCCTTATTTACATAAGTATTCAGTCCATTTGCTATGAGACTCGAAATTGAGCTCAGGTGCATCCTGTTTCCATTGATCATCCTTGAGATGTTTCTACAACTTCATTGGTGTCCACCTTTGGTAAATTCAATTGATTGGACATGATTTGGAAAGGCACAAACCTGTCTATAAACAAAAAAACAAGCCATGAGGTCAAAGGAATTGTCCGTAGAGCTCCGAGACAGGATTGTGTCGAGGCACAAATCTGGGGAAGGGTACCAAAAAATGTCTGCAGCATTGAAGGTCCCCAAGAACACAGTGGCCTCCATCCTTCTGAAATGGAAGACGTTCTGACAGAGCTCCAGAGTTCCTCTGTGGAGATGGGAGAACCTTCCAGAAGAACAACCATCTCTGCAGCACTCCACCAATCAGGCCTTTATGGTAGAGTGGCCAGACGGAAGCCACTCCTCAGTAAAAGGCACATGACTGCCCGCTTGGAGTTTTCCAAAAGGCACCTAAAGACTCTCAGACCATGAGAAACAAGATTCTCTGGTCTGATGAAACCAAGATTGAACTCTTTGGCCTGAATGCCAAGTGCCATGTCTGGAGGAAACCTGGCACCATCCCTATGGTGAAGCATGGTGGTGGCAGCATCATGCTGTGGGGATGTTTTTCAGCGGCAGGAACTGGGAGACTAGTCAGGATCGAGGCAAAGATGAACTGAACAAAGTACAGAGAGATCCTTGATTTTAAAAAACCTGCTCCAGAGCGCTCAGGACCTCAGACTGGGGCAAAGGTTCACATTCCAACAGGACAACGACCCTAAGCACACAGCTAAGACAAAGCAGGAGTGGCTTCGGGACAAGTCTCTGAATGTATTTTAGTGGCCCAGCCAGAGCCTGGACTTGAACCTGATCGAACATCTATGGAGAGACCTGAAAATTGCTGTGCAGCAACGCTCCCCATCCAACCTGACAGAGCTTGAGAGGATCTGCAGAGAAGAATGGGAGAAACTCCCCAACTGCAGATGTACCAAGGTTGTAGCGTCATACCCAAGAAGACTCGACGCTGTAATCGCTGCCAAAGGTACTTCAACAAAGTACTGAGTAAACGGTCTTAATAAGATGACAAGATGGTGCCGGAGGAGATGGCTGCCATTTTACTGCCCTCTAACTAATTTTGTTATTATGTGTGTTTTTTCGCGTTATTTGTAATTTATTCTGTACATAATGTTTCTGCCACCATCTCTTATGACCAAAAAGAGCTTCTGGATATCAGGACAGCGATTACTCACCTCGTATTGGACAAATATTTTTTGGCCCAAATCCCCGTCATTCACATGAAAAAGAGACAGAGATATTGTGGACGTAGATCGAACTGCCTTGTAAGGATCCGCTGGTGATTAAAATCTAATACTTAGGAAGTCTTGAGGTTTTGCTCGCTTGAGGTAGAGTATCTCATGATGAGCTGTAGACCACACTATTTACCAAGAGAGTTTTCATCTATATTTTTCCGAAGCTGTCTATTTACCACCACAAACCGATGGTGGCACTAAGATTGTATTCAATGAGCTGTATAAGGCCATAAGCAAATAGGAAAACGTTCATCCAGAGGCAGCGCTCCTAGTCGCCAGGGACTTTAATGCAGGGAAACTTAAATCCGTTCTACCTAATTTCTACCAGCATGTTAAATATGCAACCAGAGGAAAAAAAAACTCTAGACTACCTTTACTCCACACACAGAGACGCGTACAAAGCTATCCCTCGCCCTCCATTTGGCAAATCTGACCATAATTATATCTTCCTGATTCCTGCTTATCAGCAAAAACTAAAGCAGGAAGCACCAGTGACTCGGTTAATAAGGAAGTGGTCAGATGACGCAGATGCTAAGCTACAGGACTGTTTTGCTAGAACAGACTGGAATATGTTCCGGGATTCTTCCGATGGCATTGAGGAGTACACCACATCACTGGCTTCATCAATAAGTGCATCGATGATGTCGTCCCCACGGTGACCGTACGTACACACCACAACCAGAAGCCATGTATCACTTCTATGCTCGCTTCGAGGCAAGCAACACTGAAGCATGCATGAGAGCATCAGCTGTTCCGCATGACTATGTGATCACGCTCTCCGTAGGTGATGTGAGTAAGACTTTTAAGCAGGTCAACATTCACAAAGCCGCGGGAACAGACAGATTACCAGGACGTGTACTCTGAGCATGCGCTGACCAACAGGCAAGTGTCTTCACTGACATTTTCAACATGTCCCTGACTGAGTCTGTAATACCAACATGTTTCAAGCAGACCACCATAGTCCCTGTGCCCAAGAACACTAAGATAACCTGCCTAAATGACTACCGACCCGTAGCACTCACGTCTGTAGCCATGAAGTGCTTTGAAAGGCTGGTCATGGTTCACATCAACACCATCATCCCAGAAACCCTAGACCCACTCTAATTTACATACTGCCCCAACAGATCCACAGATGATGCAATCTCAATTGCACTCCACACTGCCCTTTCCCACCTGGACAAGAGGACCACCTAGGTGAGAATGCTATTCATTGACTACAGCTCAGCGTTCAACACCATCGTGCCCTCAAAGCTCATCACTAAGCTAAGGACCCTGGGACTAAACACCTCCCTCTGCAACTGGATCCTGGACTTCCTGACGGGCCGCCCCCAGGTGGTAAGGGTAGGTAACAACACATCTGCCACGCTGATCCTCAACACGGGGGCCCCTAAGGGGTGCGTGCTCAGTCCCCCCCTGTACTCCCTGTTCACACATGACTGCATGGCCAGGCATGACTCCAACACCATCATGAAGTTTTCCGACGACACGATAGTGGTAGGAATTATCATAGACAGCGATGAGGCAGCCTAAAGTGAGGAGGTCAGAGATAAGACAGTGTGGTGCCAGGACAACAACCTCTCCATCAACGTCAGCAAGACAAAGGAGCTGATCATGGACTACAGGAAACGGAGGGCCGAGCACGCCCCAATTCACATCGACGGGGTTGTAGTGGAGCGGGTCGAGAGCGTCAAGTTCCTCTGTGTCCACATCACTAAGGATCTATCACGGTCCAAACACACCAACACAGTCGTGAAGAGGGCACGACAAGCACCTCTTCCCCCTCACGGGCACTCAGATCCTCAAAATGTTATACAACTGCACCATTGAGATCATCTTGACTGGCTGCATCACCGCCTGGTATGGCAACTGCTTGGCATTCAACCTCAAAGCGCTACAGAGAGTAGTGTGGACGGCCCAGTACAACACTGGGGCAAAGCTTCCTGCCATCCAGGACATCTATACTAAGCAGTGTCAGAGGAAGGTCCTAAAAACTCCAGCCACCCAAGTCATAGACTGTTTTCTCTGCCACTGCACAGCAAGCGGTACCAATGTACCAAGCCTGGAATCAACAGGACCCTGAACAGCTTCTACCCCCAAGCCATAAGACTGCGAAATAGTTAGTCCGGGAAGTTATTAACTACACTGAACGAAAATATAAACGCAACATGTAAAGTGTTGGTCCCATGTTTCATGAACTGAAATACAATATCCCAGAAATTTTCCATACGCAAAAAAGACTGATTACGCGATGCCCACCAATGAATCCCAGCTGTAAGCTGTCATGGTGGGTAACTTTAAATGTCTTTTATGGCTAGGTAGCCAGCTTTGGTCTTCTTTGTAATATGTTTTTGGAAGCTACTGTCCAAATCATTGTTATTAAGAGTGTGTAATGCTAACGTTGTAGTCTGATACTAGCTACCAAAATCGATTAGGTAAAGTTATTTTGCAAGCAATTTTTAAGCTAGTTAGCTTGATTCTGTATGGAGCCATAGCTAGCTAGCTAGCTTAATCATTAGAAAAGGAATCATTCACCTGCTAAGACATAGCAACTGACATAAATCCCATGATTTATTGATCACCCAGTTAGATCTGGAGTTTTAGTAGAAGCTAATTTATTTAGCTTTGACATTGGCTGCATTCTGTACTGCCCTTTTATTAAAATAAAACCCTATCTAAACCATTTACAATTGTCTGTCCCCACTCTCCAGGCTGCAATCCACTCCCAGTTACACGGGGTTCGTTCAGGCCTCCATCAGCTCCACAATGCCCTGGGGACGTGAAGGACATCCAGAACTCCCTGGCAGAAATCAGCAATGACGGGAGGCAAAGCATCAACACCATTGAGAACCTGAAGAACATCAAATATGCTGGAATGGAACACAATCAGCTAGCCTCAACCGTGGATAACCTGAAGAATATATTTTGTATGTCCAGCTGCACCATTACATGCCACTTGATTGGGAACTATTATTGTTGGCTTGCATTGCATTTGATGTGACACTGTACAGTTACAATGTGTTTGTGTATTAATATGGTCCTCTGTAGCTCAGCTGGTAGAGCACGGCGCTTGTAACGCCAAGGTAGTGGGTTCGATCCCCGGGACCATCCATACACAAAAATGTATGCACGCATGACTGTAAGTCGCTTTGGATAAAAGCGTCTGCTAAATGGCATATTATTATTATTATATTTCTCCTCCCTTCCTGTGCAGTGCCTGAGATAGTGGCAGACACTCCATTAATGATAGAGCAAGCCGAGCTGCTGGAGGGCCACCACAAGCTGATGAACCTGGAGTGATCATGGAATGACCTCATGTACGATCAGTACCGTATGGACAGCAATAAACATGCACAACATGAAAATTCGAAACTACTTTGGCAAGGGGCAGGGCCTGCCGGACAACTTGGCCAAGCAACTATGGATAGTGCTGCAGCACGCCATGGGCCAGGCTGGAGCCACAGTGAGCAGTGACGCTTGTGCAATGCTTTCCAACGCATTACAACACCTTGACAGGTTCTTCTAGCTCTACCACAAAACTGTGTCCATGAGGGTGAAGTAACTGGCTGCAGAGGACCTGACAGCCAACAAGATTGTGTCCCTCTTCATCTTGGTCCTCAATTTTACTTTCAAAAGTAAGTATGTACTGCCCTCTCTGTGACTCATGTAGCAAAAGTATGTGGACACCTGCTTGTCGAACATCTCATTCCAAAATCATCGGCATTAATATGGAGTTGGTGCCCCCTTCGCTGCTATAACAGCCTCCACTCTTCTGGGAGGGCTTTCCACTAGATGTTGGAACATTGCTGCAGGGACTTGCTTCCGTTCAGCCACAAGAGCATTAGTGAGGTCGGGTACTGATGTAGGGAGATTAGGCCTGGTTTTCAGTCAGCGTTCCAATTAATCCCAAAGGTGTTCGATGGAGTTGAGGTCAGGGCTCTGTGCAGGCCAGTCAAGTTCTTCCACATCAATCTCGACAAACTATTTCTATTTGCATGGACCTCCCCTTGTGCATGGGGGCATTGTCATGCTGAAGTAGGAAAGGGCCTTCACAAAGTTGGAAGAACAGAATCGTCTAGAATGTAATTGTATGCTGTACAACTCGGAAAGCATTAAGACACAGTTTTGTTAAGCGATTGCCCTCTAACAACTTGTTTGAAAGTGAAATCAGGTGAACCTTCGTTTTTAGTTACATTAGCACACTGACAATATGTAGCAGAAAGGCAAGGGGTAGATTGGGCCAAAATTAAGGGTAAAATAAGACCCTTTTGTTCGTGTTTTTTTAGAGGGGGTAGCGGGTGTTTGTGACCAACTTAGTGGCTTTGTGGTTAGTGTCCGCCCTGAGATTAGAAGGTTAGAAGTTCGATCCCTGTTTGAGTTTAGCAAAGTCTGTAAAAATGGGACCCAACATGTCTCTGCATGGCATTCAGCATTAAGGAAATGCTGTTCTGGCTCGCACAAGGCTTGTGAAAGGCTACTTACTTACTTTACTGAGGGTCTGTCTGGCCCTCCAGGTCCTGCCGTAATTGAGTCAGTGGTTTCTGACTTGTTTGGCCCCAAGCTTTCCCAGGACAGGTTGGTGCTCCTGGTCAACTGGTAGGATATTCCCCCTTTCAATATTTGGTTATTAACTTTATACATGTTGCAATCCAAGCCAACTGACACTCTGGCGCATGCTGTTAAGTCCAATAGAGAATATCACCAATTTTGGATCAGCTTGAATTGAGACTAATTTATGATACTGTTTTTACCCCATTTTTTATGTCCTGGGTTACCCCATCATAAAACTCAAAATAAAAAGTTAACCCATTCTTTGTTTTTGTTGTCATATAAGTCTTTGTATTGCTTGTACCAACTGAGTCATATGTTAAAAAATGTATGTCCTTGCATCCATAGTCCAGATAGCATTGTAGCCCACACATGTATAGTCATTTTACTCCTAATTGTATGGTCACCATCTTAAACTCATTACTTAAAAGGGCTGTGAAAACAATGAACACAATATTGGGATGCAAATTGGGTTCATGTAGGATCTTATGGGCCTTTCCCAGTCATGGAGGACCAAACTTACAGCCGTGCACCTCACTGAAGACCACTACTGAATAGGAGGTAGTTATATGGTGGAACATCCGGGGAGTTGGTGGTGCAGAGGTCCTAGTAGAACAGAATGCAGCCCATCTCACTCAGTAGCCTTCTGGAGGCAGGAACAGAGCTAGGCCCCTCTTGGTTCTCACTGGCAAAGACTATGTCCTGCACCCTAATGGTAGGAAGGTCCACTGGTCAAACATTACAGAACTAAAACCCATAGACAAATGGCTTGAAACAGAGCAATTAGAGTTAGTGTTGAGATTTCACGTTAGACTCGCCAATAACAATCTTCCCCAAAGATTGTACATTTTAAGCTGATACCTATATAATGACAGCCCACGTAACATCTAAGGCGAATGGGTCAAAATGGCCCAATTCTCATGGTATACAGATGGTGTCAATGAAGATTAGTTACAAGTGAGTGTTCAGTTCTGTGTCAGGCTCTCCAAACTGCTTTATTTGATCAACTTACTCAGATGAATTGCACTGAACCCTGTTTTGAGCTGATATTAGTACAATTATAATAACAGCCCACCTAATATCTTAGGCGAATGGGTCAAAATTGTCCAATTCTCATTGAATTCAGCAGGCTTCCCACTTCAGGCTAGGCCACTCCCTCATTAAAATGCAAATCAATTTATAACATTTTTGACATGCGTTTTTCTGGATTTTTGTTGTTGTTTTTCTCTCTCTCACTGTTCAAATAAACCTACCATTAAAATTATAGACTGATCATTTCCTTGTCAGTGGGCAAACATACAAAATCAGCAGGGGATCAAATACTTTTTTTCCTCACTGTAAAAGGAAGAAGGGAACATCCTGTTGACCCAGATGTCCAAATCCTAAGCAGTAGAACAGCTATGTGTCTGGTCTGTATTGGCCCTACCTTGGTTAGTAAGGCTATCAAGAACAAAAATATCCCCAGCCGCTCGCTCCCGGCAAGGGGAGGTATAGCGGGCACAGGTCTCTTTTGTGCATCTTGTTGTCATCACTGGGTCTATAAAAGCGTAGCCCACTTCACTGCCGACGTCAACAAAATACCTGACCTTCCCCACTGACCCATGTTGGGTGACTACTACATGTTTTACTCGTTTCGATAAGGTACTTGCTGTTTTGGACTGAATGCGATTTCCATTAACGATCACTCTATGGTGAAATATACATGGTTCTTTGTAAGTAACGTCTGACTCTCCAAGGAGAAAAGCCTCCCTTGATGTAGGGTTCCGTACAACAGGATACCCTAGTAAAAATACACTCTTCTTTTTTTCACATTTGTTGGCAAGTTTGTAGTCCCTTAACATTTCTTCAACAAACCTTTTGCTAGCTTGGTTTGATTCTGTGCTGAATGTAATTGTGAGTAGTCTTGGGACGTGTTGGTAGATGGTGAACATTTCCACTATTTGTCCTGGTACACCTTGAGTGCCATGGAAGAGTTTACCAAGTCTCCTATTACTACTTTAAAAAATGAATGCACTTTAAGCCCACAAAGGTCCCCAGTTTCGGACAGATGTAGGTGCATGCAAAAGTATGTGGACATTGTAGCTGACATGACATTTCCCATACAATTGTTCAAACCTAATAACAAATTCTCAAAAGAACATCTCAGCCATTTCAATGTCATGAGAGGTAACCATGTCTTTCAGTAGGCAATAGGTAGCCTGCACCAGTAGCAGTAAATTGTGTAAGTACTGCCTGGGTAAAATCCCATTTAAACAGGGGAGGCTATAGAACAGCAGAAAGTGTCGGAACTCTGTGGCTTTTCTAATATTTGAGTAAATGAATTGAGCGTGGTGGTCTTGTCACATTTACAGGTGGTTTTATGGCAAGCAATCTTTTGTTTTTGCGCTCTATTTCACTTCCAATGTACCAGGACTCAGGATGATATTTGGACTCAAACCACAGTGCAGTCATTTGCCGACATTTGCCAAGTAAGATGTCGTGCATGTAATCAAAAGCAAACCCTGCAATTATGTTGAAAACAGTAAGGAACATTAAAGGAGATGGGCTCTTAACAACATGTATGATGTTCCCTGACTCTACCACCAAGGCAACCTCTCTGCAGTGTTTAGTGTCTGCATGGCTCTGGCGCACTCTCAAGCAGATACACTCTAGTGAAACCATTACCCTTTTCTACCATTTCTTCTTTGTGATAGCACCAGTTGCACCCATGTTCACCATTGAATTGTTTAATATTCTGTACTTTGCAGCGAGCAGGGGAATCACAAATACATAGTAAACTTCACACGCACATTTGTGGGTGTCCCTCTCAACTGGCATGTCAAGCACTCACCCTCAAGTGAAACACACTCATCCACAAAGAGCTGAAGGAAAAAAAACTTTGGCCCAAACCACAGCCCCACAAGAATGATGTGCTTCGCTCTTAGGTTCGGGGAAGTTAATTAACTGTGACTTTTAGGGGCCAGATGTGAAAGGGAGAGGACTTGAATATTGGAACGCCATCCACATTCCATGAGAGTGAAAGGTTAATTAAATCAGTGTCATTAAAGGCATTTATTTACTTGTATAGTGCACCATCATAAATGTAATCTACACTCTCTGGGCTGCTCTTGGACCTAGAACACTTATATTCTAATGCTTTGCAGAATTTGGGGTCTGATAACTTTTCCTCTAGTTGTTTTTTGACTGACAATTTCCTGAACACTGATCCACTCTTGACAAGAGACAGCATATCCCCAGGGAGGCAACCACATGATGTGCAATGATCTGGCACTTCACTGCCAAAGAAATACTGGCATGTTAGACAAATATACTACATAAGTGTCATTACAGTCAAAACACTTCATATACCAGTAGAGACTGTTGGGAAAGCCGTTTGTCCCCTCTGGACAATGGAGATTTATAATGTCCAATAAATCACTGAGCGCTATCTTGGTGGTTGTGTGTCTTAGAGCATAGCAGAGTATTGAGAGCAGAGACTCATCTTCAGTAATGTTTGCATTTGGATAGATTTTGTAATCTACTGTAGGTGGTGAAATATATGGAAGCAGGAGATGATGGGATCCTTAGTTTAAACATAAACACAACTACTACCACCAAGTTCAATGCCAGATACTTTTCTGCCAGAAATCTGAGTGGCACTTGCTACTGTGATAATGAAGATGGTTTGCCTAATACTACCATAACAATTACATTGTCTATGCTAAATATGTTTAAATTGTAAAAGAAAGAAAATAGTTGGGCTATAAGAAACACTTTTTATTCCACGGGGCTAGGCAAAGCAGAGATGACAAAATACTTTTAATTTCACCCATACAACAACTTAGCGTATTATTAAAGTACAGTATGTTTACGATATCATAAACAATAGTATTTTACATGTTCCAAATTACATTTTATATATTCATACGGTTTAAGGGGGAAACTTTTGTCATGACGACAAGGTGAAGGTCTCTACTGAAATGGCACAACAGAATTGTGATGAAATGATCGTAGCAGATCCTGTACTGACAGCCCTCTAGGTTCAGGTCTTGACGGGCAAAAAGGTTTCTTTGCTTTTCTGACAGTTCTTGAGTCTTATCTCATTGGTATCACCAATGGTGTTTCATGATTGAGGGGAATCTGTAAACATATTTTTTTCCCGTTGTCTTTCCTGCCTTGTTAGAGCAGCCAAATACTCGTGGTGATGAATCAACTAGTTTTAGGCACTGTTCTCATGCAGTTTGGGGTAGCCATTCGGCTGTTGTTGTCGGAAGAATTAATGCGGTGGTCTTCCAACATGGCCGCCAGGAGGCGTCGTACTTCAACTGCAAGCCAACTACAGTGTCCATGCAAAGTAGCCTTCTCTATATTACTTTCTATAGGCTAAGATGGCTACAAGCTAGTCATTTTTTATCCTCACCAATATGGCCGACCAGTGATGTCATCACGTCCTGAGTCACTTCCTGCTATAGTCATAGCCACATCGAACATGACAGTTGTTTACCTGTTAGCATCCTTCTCGCCCCATAGCATGATAACTACTAGCCGCTAACCACTGACTGTAATGTGCATAGGATTCATACAGCTCCCTATGCTGCCTATATCCTAGCGCACTAGCCCCTCTGTGTATACTCTCCGCTACTACTATCCCATGGCCTAGCTTAGCATGTTAGCCAGAGTATATACGGTTTTATTGTATGCTATGCCAGACCATAGCCTGTGGCCTACTAGCCTAGCATGCTAGCTGACCACTGTTGCCCATGCTAGTTGGCACTCTTTCTATTGTGTGCTAGGTTAACCTAGTCCCATGTACATAGTGTTTATTCTGTGCTAAATCCTGCTTATTAGCCCAGTGCTAATCCCTTGTCATTACATTGTGTACATTACTGCTATTACTGTTACATACCGGTGCTATTACTGTTAGATTGTGCTACATGTGACATTGCTATTAGCCTTCACTGTTAGTAATGGCGCTGGAGGAGATGTCTGCCGTTTTATGGGCTCCTAACCAATTGTGTGTGTTTTTTTTGCGTTGTTTGTAACCTATTTTGTGCATAATGTTTCTGCCAC